TCTCCTGCTTCTTTATGAAATGTCTTCAAATTTAAAAAAAAGCATTAGAGTTTATATTTAACAACATATATACCTAGCTCTTAAGAGTTATTATTGTAAGTTCATTTTCAGCAACTTTTAAGCCAATGCTAATTTTCTTAAATGTTTCTATGGTTTACTTTCTATTATAAAGAATCCTGGGTTTGGACTGGGAATGTGGCTTAGTGGTAAAGTGCTTGCCTTGCATTCATGAAGCCCTGGGTTCGATTCTTCGGTACCACCTTTAGAGAAAAAGCTGGAAGTGGCACTGTGGCTCAAGTGGTAAAGTGCTAGCCTTGAGCTAAAGAGGCTTAGTACAGCGCTCAGGCCCTGAGTTCAAGCCCCAGGACTGGCAAAAACAGAAAACTCATTTCCGATTCCTTAAGAAAAAGTATGCTCAGACAGCTTTGCTGTTGTTGACTACTATCCCCTTAGTGTTCTCACCAACCCCAGCAGAAGAGAGAGATTCTGAACATTCCAAGCATTCAAAACTGTCTGGGATGACATTGCCCCATTTATTAGGAAATGGAAAGACCTGGAAAAAATTATATTCAGTGAAGTAAGCCAGGCCCAAAGAAACATAAGTCCCATGGTTTCCCTCATTTGCAACAACTAGTATATGTCTGGGACAAGCAGAAAAGGTCAAAAGCTATGTACATATGACCATATAAGATGATGCTAAGTGAAATGAACCCCAAGATAGGAACACAATTGGTTTTTTTCTTTCTTGCTATTTTTTTTAACATATGTAAAATGTACTATGTGATTTTTCTGTTCTTTTGTATGTTCTTCCCCCATGGTATAACCCCTGTTTTCACTGTATTTGATGTCAGTGTCCTGCATCTTATATATACATTTTTCTAATTTAGGGAGAGGAAGGGAAATAAAATGCTGAAATAAGGATACAGGATGAGGCAGTGTAACAATGAGATGTACAAAACACTATGTTGAAAACGAACTTTACAACTTGGGGGTGGGGCAAAGAAGGAGTTGGGGAAGTGGGGAGGGAAGGGATGGTGGGGGGCAACAAAGGAGGAGGTAACAATGCTCGATAGGAAATGTACTCATTACCTTACTCATGTAACTGTAACCCCTCTGTACAGTATTTCTACAATAAAAGTATGGGGAAAAAAACTGTCCAGGATTTAAACCCTAATATCCCAAACTACATCACATTGTCTAGACTGAGAATGGAATGATAGGATTGATTGACTGACTGATTTTACAAATTGGGTCATCCAAGCATCAGATCCCAAGGCAGACTGTTAAACAATATGATCTGTGAGAAAAGGAGGACTGAAACAGGAATGGGAAAGGGGATCCATTAAATCACATCACTGATCTTAAGAGTTTATACCAGTCTATTGAGGAAGCCTAGCACAAACACTGCCAATTAAAAAAGCCCTGAATTGAGCAGAGATGAAGACAGTCTGTATATACTTGGGAACAGTTAACATTCTTTCCCCACTAGTTTGTCACAGAATGGAACTCAAATCTTTCAAACATCAACATCCGTGTATACAAAATAGGTGAAGCTTTATCTATTGACCAGTAGTTCTCAACTGAGGGTAACTGTGACCCCTCCAAGGACATGCTGACATCTAGAGACATTTCAGGTGGTCACAACATGAGATGATATGCTTTGGGCACTTAGTAAATAGAAGTCAGGCATGCTGCTAGACATCCTGTATTACAGAGGATAGTACTTATGTGCCTTTGTGTGCACCGCCCACCTCGGACAACATACACATCAAGAATTTTCTGAGCCAAAATGTTAGTAGTCCTGAAGTTGACTAACTGCTCTCCTGACACCTATCAAATGTACACATATGTACTGGTAGATACTATGAGAATCTTTTGTCTTGATAATACTTGATAACTAGCTTTTGTTTTTCTTTGCAACCATTAATACTTGTACTTGAAATTCCATCCAGCTTATTTAGCTTTGGGGCACAAAGGTTACCTTGAATTAGTGGACTGTCTTATTCCTGAATAGTTATAAAAATTTGTTTTTTTAAGAAATGCTCATTTGAATTTGGCGTAAATTCTCTTTGTGTTTATTGTCCTTGAGGATTTTACTTTGAGAAGTAGATAAGAATCATTTATGTTTAATATATCCACTGTCTTATGCAAGTGTTACTTCAAAAGTATCAGTTTGTTTTGATGTTTAAATATCCCTGGGCTGTAGGTTTGTTTACTCTACAAGTTCACTCTGCTGTATTTTTCTACATTGTATATTACAGAGCTGAATGTCAGTACCAGCTAAGATTAGAATATTAAACATTTTAGATTACAGTTAAATCAGTGAATATTTACTACATATGCAAGGGTATATTTTTCTTTCTGGAATTTCTACTGAAAAATAACACAACAGAAGCAAACTTACACATTTTGAACCATCTAATAGATGCGTTCTCCTTTAGGGAATTTAGCTCCAGAACTGTGGCTAGAAAAATAAAAAGACTGGTTAATGCCTGAAGGGATAAAAAAGATCAGCTAGCCAAAAAAAATAAAAATTTTCTTCAAAATGTGAAATGTGTGTTCAATCCTAGATCAAGAACTAGATGTTCAAAGTTCTGTATATGAGATTTAACATTACTTTGGAAAATTCTAGAAAAAAAGTTTGATATTAGTACACTGAAATCATTTTTCAGATAGTAGCAGTAGTGGTACTGGCACTTTATTCAAGAAAATACTTCATTGTTTTTATCTAAACACAAAATCATGCATTGTATTTATATCTAACATCTACAGTCACAAAAATCATGAGAAAATCAATTATGAAAAAAACTATACCAATCACTGACTGAAAGCTCTTTGCAAAGAATTGTAAGATAATTAAAAGGAAAGAGGAGAATGATGAGTTGTTGCTCACTAAACTAAAGAAAACAACAATATAAGTGATACTGTTTGACATTGCAGGAATCTCTCTAATCCATTATCACCTACTCCATACAAAGCACCTATTCAAGAACACATACTCCTCAATAGACAAGAGATGCCAAAGTGTCAAATGATCTGTTCTAAAACCATGACTCTATTACAGTCTCTTCCTGGATATTTTCAGCTTGTCCCAGTTCCCACTACTCTCCCACTTGAGAACAACCTATTGCTCTGATTGGTCAGGAACACCCAGATGAATATCGAAAGAGTCTCTCATTAGCTCCTGGGACATTTACCTTTTTGAAACAAGGTTCTTGAGAAGAGGACCTCTCATGTTTCATTATGGCCACCCTCCATAAGAACACACAGTAGACTAGATAAAGAGACACCTGAAAAATGCCTGGCGAATGACTGATTCTTGAACCCACGTCTCATACTCTAAGCCATAGTGTTTGAGTCCTGCTAAATGATAGAAATTGCCTGGTTATCCCCAACTGAGCAGATTCAAAAAAGACAAGCTATGATTTGGAACTTCTGTGGAATCTCCTGCCGAATTCATCCCAATCCTATTATTCTCCTACTTTTCAAAACAAATAAATAATATGCTGTTAAATGATGACCAGGCTTTAACTCACTTTTTAGCAAAATAGACTGTCTCTTCCCAAGCTATAGTAGATATCTTGCTAACCACCAGGATGATTGATAGTAGGGGCTTTTATAAGTCACTGATGTCCTCAAGATTTTCTCACTATGTTTTTCCAATCTTTGTTCATCCACTCATGATTTACTGCTTTGGCCTTATCATAATGTTAGGCAAATGAACACTACTTATTTTGTTTTATCAATGGATTTACATTAATGGTGATTAAACCTAGAGTCCGCTCTATGCTAGACAAGTACTCTACCACTGAGCTTCATGCCCATTCCTAGCCCACAGCTTTCTTATGTCAACCAATGCTCCGCCACCTCCTTGGGCCAGCAGTTTCTCCTGGTTTTTATACGTCTCCCAACCTGTGATGAAACACGGGGGCTTTTCCTTGACTCTTCTTTCTGACTCTATGACATTGAACTTCTTACATCCTGTTATACCATCTCTCAGTTTTGTTTCTGGCAATTTATCTTTTCATCGCCTTCTCCATGTTTTCCATTCATTGTACAACACCATTTGCAATGCACTGTTCTCAGTATATGATTTTCTTCTTTGAATAGATTGAGGCAGAAACTGAAAATGAGGGGAAGATGGAGAGCAGGACAGGTAGAGGGACACAATGAAAAGCAGACTCTTTAAATATTTTCATTCTTAATTTTATCCCGCCAATGAATTAAAAGGAAAATAATCAAATTTTAAAGTAATTATTTTTAAATGTTTGACTGCCTTTCCACAAACAACAGAATGAACTCTCCTCTTTTTGTTGTTCTTGTTGATGATGTTGATTTGTGCCAGTCTTTGTGCTTGAACTTGGGGCCTTGGCATCATCTATGAGCTTTTTCCTCAAGGCTAGAGCTCTACCACTTGAACCACAGCTCCACTTCCAGCTTTTCTGGTAGTTAATTAGAGATAAGAGTCTCACTGACTTTCCCACCCAGCAGACCTTGAAAGTGATCTTCACATCTCAGCCTCCTGAATCGCTAAGATTTCAGCTGTGAGCTACCACCAGCGCTAGGCTGAAAGTCAAGTACTGCTCTGTTTTGACTCAAAGCTAGATTTCCAGTTTTGTTGTACTCAGCTTTTCAAGTGTTTAAACTCTACATCCAAGTCGAAATTAGGACCAAAACCTACACATTCTGCCCTTGACACCTAGAATGTCTCTTCTACTTTTACCCATCATAAGACTACCCAGGTTTGAAAGCTCCATTTCAAATCAACTTCTTCCTGTAACCCCCACTGCCCAACACTATGGTTCTTTTTAACACTTTTTCTGTTGGGGGAGAGGGAGGAATACCCGCTGGGTGCTAAGAAGTACATTTTCCCATCATGTACTTGACTATATCCCATTCTCTGTACATCCATTTCCATATCTGTAAAATAGTCTTTATAGCAGCACTTTCATGAAAGTTCATTCATTGAAATACTGAGTTGGGTACCTATTATGAGACAGGCACTGCCTTGAGGATCACAATAGTGAATGAAATCAACTAAGTTCTACTCTCGAGTTTACTTTCTCATATGAAAGGCTTAAATGAAATATAACTATAAAATTCTTAAAAACAACCTTTGAGATGTTGTAAATGGTTCTATACTTATCTATCATTACTGTCGTGGCTGTTGCTGTTGTCTTTCAGTATTTCTATTAACAAGGAAACTACGGTTCATCGGCTTCTTGATAAGATATTGATGGTCAAATGATTAATAAGAAATTTGACTTCTGTCTCCCTGACTCACAAAAGTAGTGACTTTCTACTATATTTCATGTCTGGCTCCCAAAACCAAGCCATACATTAGAACTATCCATGGACTTTCAAGATAAAATGGATTCTCAAGCTTCAACCCCCAAAGAACAAAATTGGAAATGGTAGCAATAAGAATCTCTATCATTTAAACCCTTCCTGGGTAGTTGAGATGTACCATCAAAATGACTACATTGCATTAACATTTTTTCCTGTGCTACTTTGTTATGTTTATTTGTAAATATCAAACCCATGAATTCATTAATGATGGGCTTTTTGCTTTTATATTTTCTCCTTCCTCTCCTACCAGTGTTTTGTAAGCACTCAATAGATATTTGAATAACTAATTGCTTAATTATTTAATTAAAGTTGCTCCTAAAATGCAAATACTCACAGCTGTAGTACTAGAAGCCCATTATGAGCGATCATTGATCTCCCTGGGGATATTTATTAATCAGCTAAGAACTAGTAGTTGAGAAGGACAAGCTAAATAAACATCTGGGAATAGAACCAAGAGGTTCCCAAACCAATGGTAGCTACAATATTTCAAATTTTATGATCTCTTCCTTTCCGTACCCTTCCTTTCCCTTCCCTTCCCTCCTCTCACCTCTCCTCCCTTCTTCCCCTTCCCTTTTCCCTTCTCATTGGCAACTTCAGGTAAAATACAAAACCTGTATTGCTAAAAATCAAGAGCTCTTTGCCCTCTTAATTTTGTTTCTTTTAACATGGCATATGTCTCTCTTTTAGAAACTGAATGCGGGGGTGGGTGATCTCTTCTTTATAGAAAAGAAATCTTTATTCTTGTCATACCACGAGCATGAAGTGCTCCACTATACATTAAGATTATAAAGCAAGATCCCCAAATGCAGTGGGCTGATTATTCACAGAAGACATATTAAGTCAAGAAGCTTAATTTTTTTTCTCTCTTTGCTAAGGCACAAAGCCTGGGGCTATATGCATTTTTATTACACTTTACTGTCTTGGTTTCACTTGAGGATTAAAAAGAGAGTCAAGGTACAGTGCATGTATCCTGATGGATTTTAGGATTTCTTGCTTTAGTGAAAGGAAGAATCTCATAAAGTACCTGAGATTATTGCTCTGGGAAGTATACCTAGTTCTCTGATGACCTAGAAATTCAATCTTTTGTTTCTCCTATAAAAGATCACATTGTATTGTGGAAATTTTTCCCCCTGTAGTTTTCTGCACTATGTAAAGCCACATTAAAAAAAAAGCTTCGTTTAGATTTGAAGTGAAAATATCTAAAATAGTTTAGGGAAGTCTTATGATTATTCTGGGAGCTTACAAACAGCCTTGGAGGTGGAGAGAGGTGGCAAAAAGGAGGAGGAAAGCAGTAGGAGAGAGGGAAGGAGGGATATGTAAGTTAGGAAAGTATAAAGACAGCAGTCGGAGAAAGCCTGTGTAGACTGGGTGTGAATCCATTTTTTAATCCAGTTCTGACAAATCTCCACCAAGAACCAATAAAAACGCATAGTTCTATCTTGTCTATTTTTATTATGAAGAGCTTATTTAATGAATGACTTATTTATTTAGTATGTGACGTCTCCTCTGATACACAAAAAAAAAGAGAAAGACTGAATGTTGGAGGATTTGGAAGTACAGTAGATGAGATCTTCCGGTTTACTGATTTGTAAAGAATGGCATGATACTGGTTTGGCAGCTCTGCATTACTGAAAGAAAAGAAAGGCGCTTTTCAGTGGCCAGAGAGGAGAGCTGGGAACTGAAAATGGGCTCCTGGCAGACAAGGTTCTTTGATAGGCAGACAAATTGACTGTGAAGGGAGTCAATGTCAGAAAGCTTTGGAAATACTGTGAGCATGGGGTGGGATTTAAGGAGGTTGATTTCCTTAAGGATTATAGCTTGCAGACTTCAGCAAATTCCCCCTTCCAACCTTCATTAAAACGATGATTAATAGAACAAACTGAAATTCTACAAGTGTATTATTACCCAAAATGTAAGGGCTTTGCCATTGAGATTAAAATATTCTGGTGCTTTATCTTTTTCTTCATTCATCTTCAGGGTTTCAACCTGATTCAGTCATTTTTTTACTATGAATTTATTTACTCCTCTATATGCTGTCTTTTTGTTTCTCTGAATGATGCCAGTTCTCTTTTATCCCATTGATATTTTTTAATTGCCACTTCTGGTCCTTGGGAATACTTCTGCATTCTAATACCAAGAGGCATAATTATGTAATTAGCATGCGAATATTATGCTACTTTTGGCCTTGAATAACCCTAGGAAGGAATGCTCCACTGACCTCAGAAATTTTCTGTGAGCATGATACCTTCCAAACATCGAATAAATAAAGCTGAAGAATAAATAGCCAAATGTAAATGATTTAATGGAATTGGTGTTGCAAGGTGAGAACCACTTGACTTTTAGCTCCTGTTGCAAATCACAAGATGTATTAGAGAAGCTTTAAAGGAGAACCAATTTTTTTAAGTTAAAATCTGCATCAAGTTACATCATGTGAACAGGATAATTCCACTTTTATCTTTTAGAGACAAAACATTTTTCTTAGAAAAATTTTTTTAAAAAAGCAAAGAGAACCAACATTTCCTATGATCTTTTCGCCCTCTCTGTCACAATTTTCAAAACTATTTGTGGATGTAACTAAAACTAAAGATATTTTGACAAATGAAGCAATAGGAGGTTGATTGCTGCTTTTCTAAATTAAAATTAATGATACCCTTAAGGTACTTGGGTCTATGAAGTCAACATAATGTTGATATAACCTGACTCCATTATCACAGAATGAGGCAATTGCTGAGCACTAAAAGCAACAAACAAATCTCAAAGTGCATTTCAGAAATTGGTGAGGTGAAAGTTTTAAGCCTAAACAATGGACAAAGAACTTGCTGCTTTTCTTGCTTTTCAAGTAATGTAAGAATTCCTCAAAAGTAGAGGAAAAAGGCCCAGGGGAAACAGTGCTTGCCTCTAATCCAGCTACTTGGAAGGTATGGAGGGTAGGGATTGGAGGATTATGGTCCGAGGCTGGTCCTGGGCACAAAGCACCAGACCCTATCTGAAAAATACTAAAACAAATAAGATTGGAGCCATATATGATGCCTCACATCTGTAACTTTATTCAGGAAGCTGAGAGAGGAGAAAGGATCACAGTTCAAATGCAACCTCAGACAAAAACATTTGTGAGACCCCCATCTCAATCAATTAAAAAGGTGGACACAGTGGTATACACCTGTCATCCCAGTTACACAGGAAATATAAACAGAAACATTTCAGTGTAGGTTACTCCATTAGGAAGAAGCAAGACCTTATTCGAAAAATAACAAAAGCCAAAAAGTTTATAGTAATGTCTCAATGGCAAAGTACCCACTTGACAAGCACAATCCTGGAGTGCAAATCCCAATACCTCAAATCAAGAGCACTGGGATGTGACTCGAGTGATAGAGTGCTTGCTAGAGGCCCTGAGTTGAAATTCTAATACCATATGTTAATATATGTACACGCTCACAGACAGACAGACAGACAGACAGACAGACACACACACACACACACACACACACAAACACACTATAGACTAATGCTGATCATAGAAGTTGGCTCCTAGCTAGGACCCTGTATGCCTCACCCATCTCAGTGATGTACAGCCACTTCATATGAAACACTATGAAGGCTGGGGATGTGGCTTAATGGTAGAGTGCTTGCCTAGCATGCATGAAGCCCAGGGGTCGACTCCTCAGTACCACATAAACAGAAAAAGCCAGAAGTGGTGCTGTGGCGCAAGTGGTAGAGTGCTAACCTTGAGCAGAAGTAGCTCAGGGACAGTGCCCAGGCTCTGAGTTCAAGCCCCAGAACTGGCAAACAAACAAATGCAAAAAACCCCACTATGAAGTCTATGTACTATTCTGGTAAGTTGTATAGAAAAAGAGTCAATGCTGGGGATATAACTCACTGTAGAATAGAATACAATCAAGAAGCAGGAAGTAGAGGAACAGAAGAAGAAAAGGAAAAGGAAGAAGGAGAGCAATCATAAAAGACTAAGAGAAGAATCAATAATGACATAAAATGGAAGCAGAGAAGCACATAAAATGGAAGTGGAGAAGCAATGAAAGGAGTATTTTTAATGGACCATCATAGGTGCCTATCATCTCAGCTGTGGAAATCTCAGCTAAGAAGACATAGCTAAGGGGTACCAGCAAAAAGGTCCTAGATAAAGCATTCCAGCTAAAGATGGAGGATTGCTTGAGCCCAGGAGTTCAAGACCAGCATAGGCTGGTTACATAGCAAAAATGCATGTAAAAAAAGATAGATTAATGATAATCTCAGATGGCACATGGTAGTATCTATGCTAAAACTAACTAATGATCATACTCCTTCTCAGTGTAGACACTGGGTGGACACTGCTTTCCTGAAATCAAATGCAAGGAGCTGTTTAATTCCTAAGTCTCCTAAATAGCAATAATTAATTAATTAATTAAAACAAAAGAGACTAAAGTGGATCTTGCATTTAACAAACCTAAATTGCTTGGCCACAGAGCTATACTTATTACCAATGCTCATCTCAAACCAACCTTTTATTTTTCTCAGTTATAACTCAATTCGAAGAGTAGATTTTAACTGAAAAAGCTTGCAGTTGGACAAAAGGCTTTTAATTCAACTAAATCTCAGTCCAGTGTCTTGAATAGTGTTTAGTCATATACTTATGAATGTTCCATGTAAGGATTTAGAAATGAGAATGAGTTCTAAAGGCATGCACTCAGAATACTGCAGAGAATGCAAAACTGCAGGACAAAGATCTTCTAAGTAGACTTATGAAGATGCTTGTGTGCATGTTTGTAGTTTGTTCATTAGCATCACAGTACAAGAAGTTTTATTGATTGGATTTGGTTTGTTTAGGGTTTCTTTATATGAGCTCATTAGTATAGGTGTGAAGTCTAGGTCTTACAAGCCCATAGATATTTATCAAGGATTTACACAAATTGAGAGCCAGAAAATCAAAATGCATGTGCCTAGCTACGTATTTTCGGTACATTGGAGAAAATACAATTTCTGTATGTGGTATCAATAGAAAACACCTGGACATGGGAAGAAACTACAGAGTCTAACAGTGCATTTCCTCATCATTAACTGATCTGTGCCCCTCCAAAACATCTGGTGAGAAAAACTCAAGGTGCCTAGCTAGTCAAAAGAAGGAGAAAAAAAAGGAAAGCTCTTTAGAATTTAAAACAAAGTTAAGTCATCAACATCTACATTTAGATAAATTTATTTGAAATAATTTCTAAAAGCCACAGCAGTTGCTCCTTCCTTTTCTCTCTTATATTTAATCTGTTAGCTTATTTATAGTAATTCTGAAAAAACGGAAAGCTTGAAATGAAGATTTCAGTCAAAAGTCACAAAGCTATGGACTGAGCCTCAGGAAGCAGTCACAGCTGGGAGTTAAGAATATGTTAGGATTAATTTAGTTGGATGACTTAGTACTCATCCATTAACCCTCAAATTACATTTGCAAGTCTGCCACATTTGTGGTTAGCACAGTGCCAAATAAATGATAGGAACTAAAAATGTCATTCAATCAGTTGTTACTGAGCATCTCCTGGGTACTAGACACTGTGTTAAATTGCGAACAAGACAGACAAGGTCTGTTGCATTCAGCTACTTATCCTTTGAATGAATATAGAGACGTTTTCTAGGGTTGTGGATGTAGCTCAATGGTAATGCACTTACCAAATACGTGTTAGACCTTACTTTCAATCTTCAGCAACACAAAAAGGGAAAAAAAGCAAAACAAGCTTCTTACTGGAGCAAGACAGGAAGTCTCTTCAAACACACATTGTTTACAGAACTTGAATAAAATGAGAAGGAAAAGAAGAATAGATAGCCCTCAAAGCTATATAAATATGATTTTAAAATTAGAATCAAAAACCATGAGGGACATTTTTGTCTTTGGGGCTGTTTTCTAGACATTATTGCTTTATTTTTTAATTTAATATCATAGCCAAAATGAATCTAATTTTTTTATTCTTTCCTGCTTTTTACTTTGATTATTGAAATTGGAAGGAAGGGAGAGAAAGACAGGATAATGATGGGGAGAGAGGAGATGATAAAGAGGTGAGGGAAGGGAGCGAGTAGAAAGAGAGGAAAGGGAAGGAACTTTCTAAAAATTTGTGTCAGGAATCTTGGAAAGGAGATTCTTTAAAATATAATTGTTATGGTAAATCCATGAATCAACCATATACTAATTCACTCAACTAATGTGAATTGAGTATCCATTACATGCCAAATAGTTGGCTAAGTCACCGAGGCTGACATGTGGGGGGGAGATTTTAGCCCTGTCCTCATAGATCATATTAAAAAAGGAAAAGACCTTTTTTTCCCCTCCTGTAGAACTGCTGCAAACTAGATGATGAGTACTCATGGACCAGATGGCAGTTTTCTTCCCATCTGGGATAGTTCTGAAGAATAGACCCTCATGTATCAATAGATAAGGTTTCTTCCAGTTCTAAGCTTTCATGATCTATGATCTAATAGTAGAAACAGGATGTATGCTTCCAAAAAGATGTTATACGTCTATTACTTCCTCAACACTCCTGTACTACTTACTGCCCCAGGCCTTTCCTGAGCTTATCACTATGTCTCACTTCCTACCCTTTATGCTTCCAAAGAATAGAGATTATAGTTTGTGTTATTTATGTGTTCATTTTATTAACACATAATATACTTTTATGAACACATATATAATTTTTGGCCTTTGCTTTCTGGTTTATGTATATTATATTATGTTGACTAAAAACAGAGAATGTAATAGACATTGTTGTTTCAAACATTCATCAAATCTCATTTCCTTGCATAATTGCTCACAGAACAAAGTGCCTTAGTGCTAAGTAGCCACAGCTTGTGAAGACATTGGTTGCCTTCAAATGTTTCTTTCTTTAGTCTTTCAGTTAATGGCACACTCAGTGTACATAAACATTTCCTCCTCATTACCTTACTCATGTAACTGTAAGCCCTCTGTAAAGTATCTTTACAATAAAAAATTTAAAAATTCCTCCAATGATAATTTATAAAATGAAATATTTATGCTTATATTTTTAGTTAAAGTTATTTTCTGATTATTTTATTCCATTACATGATACACTTTTAATTTCAGTCTCACTCTTATGTGATATTGTAAGTTTGAGTCATAGGATGGAAATTCACTTTAAATTCTTGACAGCATGGGGTAACTCTTGAAACTACTACTGGAAATCTCCTTGTATAAAAGTAAACAACCTTTAGAGATTGAGAGTTATAGTGGACTCAGGTTGCTACATCCATGTGATTCAAATGACAGGGTCTGTGGCTCACTAATACTCCTTTACCATCTCTATGATCCCCTAGGGATTTCTTTAAGATTTAAGATAATTTTCCAATCTCATATGCCATCTTTATCTCCTCCACCCTGTCCACCTTTATCTCCTTTCACCTTCATCTCTTGACTAAGTTGTTCATGAAATAACCCATTCTAAATTTAGAATTGTATTCACTTGCATGTGTTCTTTCATAACCATTTTCCATGATAATATGGTATCTTGCTCTTTAAGACCAAGAATTGGCTTTGTATTGCATCATAAAATACATCCATGACTAAAGTTTCATAGATATATACACTTCATTTGGTCTATGTTCAACAAGTTAATTGATTTTAAAATGAATAAATTTAATAGTAACTATTTAGTAAATATTGATAAAATATCCTTCGTTCAATTTTAATTTCCTAGAGAGTAATTAAGAGCAAGAGCCAGAGTGAGCCAGTATGAAACCTGGCACTGGCAACTTAGTAACTACTTAAGCTTCAACACAATTTCATTTGATTTTTTTACACAGTGTTTTCCTACATAGTCCAGGCTTGCCTTTAGCTTTCAGTGCAGCTTTCAGCCTGTAGCTGAAAGGGGCCTTCAGTCCCCTTGCCTCAGCCTCCCAAGTGCTGGGATTATAGATGTGTATCATCAAGCCTGGCCAAACAAGTTTCTTTTTAAGTCTCTCATGGCTATTTCTACATCAATGAAGTGGAATAATAATATTAAATCTTATCACAGAGTTACTATGAAGATTAAATTTTAATGCATACTGTCTTGCACATAGTATTTAATATTGCCAATTTTATATTGTCGACAGTGTACTGTATACTAAAACTTATTCATCTCCATTTTAACTGTAATAGCAACAACAATATCTATTAACCTTTATTGAACAATTACACATTCAGAAACTAAGCTAAACATTTATATTATATACAATATATAACCTTATTTGATACCCACAAAAGCTATCAAGTAGGTTGTATCATTGTCCAAATTTTACTAATAAAGAAAATTAGGAGTATAATAATTTACACAGAGCCATTATACTAGTCAGAGTCCCCAGAGATATAGGATCCCAATATAAGTAAAATTAGATAGATAGAAAATAGAAGATAAATAGATGATAAGAGAGAGAGAAAGAGATTTGAAGGTATTAGATTATAACTTTATAAAACCTAAGAAATGCCTTGATCTGCTGTCCCGAGCTTGAGATCAGGAAAGTTGGTGGTAGACTTCCAGTTTAAGGGAAGAGGTCATGGAGTTGGGGGTAAATCCAAGTACAAAGACAGGACGAGACTAATGACAGCTCAAGTAGGCAAGAGGGCCAAAAAAGAAGATACCATTTCTTCTCTTTAGGCCTTTAACTGATGGGATGTGCCTGCTTATATTTGGGAGGGAAATACTCAGAATCCATGGACTATGATACAAACCTCACAGTCAGCTCCATAATAATGTTTAATTGGGGCATCCTCTGGCACAGACACTTTGACACAAAGAACTAACCAGCACACTTAAGCAATCAGTGTCAGAATGTATTCTGGTGCACTTCCATTTTAGGAGGGTGACAGTGAATGATCCTTGCTTACCACAAGATTTACAATCTATTTTAGGAGATAACTTGTGTTCATATCTAAAATGGAGGCTGTAATAGAATTCTTTCATGTATATGTCAGGTACTGTGAGAATACTAAGGATTCATTCTAACCTGGGAGATTCTAACGGAACTTATGTAGAGAGGAAAGTGGGGTAGGGCATTGGAGAGAGAAAGAACCACAAGCAGAAATCTCTCCGGCACTTTGTTAGTCAGAATATCACAGAACAGCAGAGAGTTTGGTGGATTCTGCAGGTAGTTTGGCTGGAAGTACAGAAGCATAAGGCAGATCAGACAAATTTAGAATGTTCCTCTGCTTCTGTATCTATAACAATGAGGCAAATCCTTTATTATTTTTAGAACCTTTTTTGGTTACCTAAATATTATGCAAAGATGGAAGAGGCTAAGGCAAAAGTGAAAAATGATTGTTGGAAATCTATATTGGATATTATGTTGATATTGGAACATTAGAGTTAGTGTTAGGCTAGACAATCTGAACTACTTTTCTGATGAGCGGAAGATCCTTTTTACTTGTTGAGAATTCTCCACACCACAGGAGCCCATGGATAAACTAAACAAAAGTTTCCCATAAGCTGTTGACAACCAAACCAACATTCAGGGTTAGAGAGCTATAGGAAGCCTGGGGCTACCACTAATACTGGCTGGGTGAAATGTCAGATGACAAAGTACACCATTTTACCACCATGAACTTTTTTCCTTTATTCCCACCAAGAATGGAATTCACTGAGCTTTTAGGACACTGGGCAATTTTATATTAGAAAATCCTAATAGAGAAAAAAATGGATGACAATATTTTCTTTCTGCTGCCAGAGGCATATTTCTCAGTAATTACCAAATCCACTGAACATTGGAATCTGAAATTTTTTTTCATCACACTGAATACCCTATTTTGATCCGAAATTCACTGTTTGTCCCTATTTCTTTGATACTTCATTCTTGACCATCTGTTCTTTATTAGCAATAGTTATAACCCAATAGATCATTATTAATTAATATTAACTCCAAAAAGTTGGTCAAAAACCATAGTCTGACTAAAAGATAAACAATAGGTAATTTTGATATCCTTTAACCCCTTGTTTTTGGTAGAAGAATTAGTTTCTACCAGATTCTGGTGGCTTACACCTATAATCCTATCTACTCAGGAGGGTGAGATCTAAGAATCTCAGTTTAGAGCCAATCTAGGCAAGCAAATCTGAAAGATTCTTATCTCCAAGTTACCAACAAAACATCAGAACTGAAAGAGTGACTCAAATGTAGCAAAGAAAAACCAAAAGCTAAATGAGAGTACAAGGCCCTGAGTTCAAGCCCCAAAACTATTACACACACAAAAAAATGGGCCTTTGTACTTTTTGATGATACAGAGTGAGACAGTAGCTTATTTGTGGATGTTAATGATTAGTGTGTAAAGAATATCATTTTTGTCATTTACAAGACAAATCATATCCTTTGTGTTTGGCCTTTGTTTGATTTTTTAAAAAATAGGCCTTGAGACCATTTACACTTAGGATATAGTAAAACCATAATCATGGATTGGACAGCCAAACCATCTTAACAAAAAGGAAATATTATTTTAATTGCTTCTCCTTTTTTAATACTTTTTATTGTAAAAATACTGTACAGAGGGGTTATAGTTACATGAGCAAGGTAATGAGTACATTTCCTTTCAAACATTGTTACCTCCTCCTTTGTTTTTCCCCTACCATCCCTTCCCTCCCACCACCACAGCTACAATCCCCCTCCCCCCTAAATTGTGAAGTTCGTTTTTCAACATAGTGTCTTGTGCATCTCATTGTTACAATTGGTCAATCTGTATCCCTATTTAAGCATTTTGTTTTTTCCCTTCTCCCCAAATTAGAGAACTGTATATATAAGATGCAGGGCACTGACATCAAATACAGTAAAAACGGGGTTATACCATGGGGGAAGAACATACAAAGAAACAAAAAAAAACACATGGTACATTATAAATAGGAACAATAGCAAGAAATAAACCACTTGTGCCCCTATCTTGGGGTTCATTTTGCTTAGCATCATCTTATCTGGTCATATGTACATAGCTTTTCACCTTTTCTGCTTCTCCTAGACATATATTAGTTATTGCAAATAAGGGAAACCATGAGACCTATGTTTCTTTGGGCTTGGCTTACTTCACTTAATGTAATTTTTTCCAAGTCTTTCCATTTCCTAACAAATGGGGCAATGTCATTCTTTCTGATGGAGGCATAGAATTCCATTGGAGATAGATAGATAGATAGATAGATAGATAGATAGATAGATAGATAGATAGATAGATAGAGATAGAGATTGATATATATGTCACATTTTCTTGATCCATTCATCTACTGAAGGGCATCTGGGTTGGTTCCATATCTTTGCTGTGGTAAATAGTGCTACAATAAACATAGTTGTGCTGATAGCTTTTGTCTGGTCTTTTTTGTGATCATTTGTGTAAATGCCCAAAATTGGGATTGCTGGGTCATAGGGGAGCTCTATGTGGAGTCTTTTGAGGAACCTCCATACTACTTTCCAAAGTGGTTGAACAAGTTTATACTCCCACCGACAATGCAGTAGGGTTCCCTTTTGGCCACATCCCCTCCAATTGTTTCTCCTTATATGTGATGAAAAAAACGTTTCTCTCTTTTTCTTCCCAGGTGGCCGTGGAGGACCGTGTCCGGCAGCTGCATGAGGCCCACAGGGACTTTGGCCCAGCATCCCAGCACTTCCTTTCCAGTAAGTAGTTCTCAGCTTTTGTGTTTTAACCTCTTTGGTGCATCTTAAGAGCTAAGAATTAAGAATTGAATTCCAGCCCTCTCTGATACGTATGGTGAGAAATATAAAATATCTTTAACTATAACTTTGTGAATGAATTCAAAAGTTAATGAACAGGAAGGTCAGTCCGATCATTTGTCTGGTCTTCAATGCATAATTCTTTCCTGCAATGTATTCACATGCTAACTTTATTAATATTTGTCATTCTGTCAATATCAGTTCATTTAATGCACCTCATATGATCGAATTATGATATAATCACACAACACATGTTCTTGTGAATTTATATGCTCATGATAATTCATTAAATTCCTTTTGACTCTAAGTGGGAATCTCAACATATGAGTTTGCCTTCCTTAATTCTTTTTGTTGCCTCTGCTCATTCTTTTTATTTGCCAGTTTTAATATATTATTAATAGTATTTTCTTATTTTCACATCATTTAGGTACTATTAGTAATTATTACATATTTTATAGTTAATCTAAAGAATGATAGCTTTAGCTCACTAAATGTTTAAGTACTGGAATATTCTATTAATATACCAATATATATTAATTTGGTACCCACTGGATGGTTGTTAATTTATCCAATTATTTCTCCATACAGGTACATACAGCTGTACATCTCCTGTATGGAGTTAACATCTATTAGTATTTTGATGCATTACCTTCTGTTCAGATAAGAGTATATATAAGGGTTTAATCATCTTTTCAAAACAATCATTTTTGCCTGGCAATATTACAAATATTAACTGATTTGAGACACACATTTGCATACCTAGTGAGAGAGCTAAAGTTCAAAGTTTAAAAAAATCATTCCAGAGTCTGTGTTTTTAACCACTACCCTGTACTTTTACTTAATTAGTACATTTTGTAGAGAAGAAGTGATTCTATATGTTCCCTTTGCAATCTTCTGCTGTATTCACTTATTGCTGATTTCTTGTCCTTTTCATTCCATTCTCTGTGGACTAATAAAAAGATCCATGTTCACAAATTCTATGGAGTATTTGACTAGGCACTTCACGTGTGTCTCCAGTTGGCCATTGTCTTTTAAAACAAGAATTCCTAGAAGATATTGATCCTAATTTTTTTGTTTTATGTCAATAATGGATTAATTGAGAAGTTATAGTTTCTTGGATTTCTAACCATACTACATACATGTAGTCTACTTATTAGACACAATCATACATGCTTAAAAATTGCCAAGGAAAAATAACTAGATTTCAATGAGTAAGAAAATGGCTTTTATAAAAATACAAAAGCTACAAAAATTATAAAAGTTATAGATTTTGTCTCTATGTTTTTCCAAATCTCTGATTTGCTTAACTTGCCTTGGTGACAGCCATTCTATTTAATTGAGATTAAATGTGATAGAATATTCTGAAATGACTCATAAGCCATAAATAAAAATATTACTATTATGAATTCTTCAGGTACTCTGTGTATTCCTTCACATTTGCTTCCCTTTGTCTTGTTCCCCCTCCCCCAAATTCCCCTGTCTTCCCTATTAAAAGCCTATTCCCAGAAAATGATACGTTATACTCATTTAACCCAGATGACAGGTAAAGTTTAATGTGTACTTCTCCCGGGTTATTTGCATTTTAATAGGGTAAAAAAATCTATAAGCCTGAGGAATGGCTCTCTAGTGGTATAACATCAGGCAGAAGCTCCGAGCTTCTGGACCATCCTCATACCTTTCAAAGCATATCTTATCATGGCCAGTTCCAGGACGGTCAGTTCTGCAGACATGGACACTCATAAAGAGATTAATCTAGGGGCTGGGAATATGGCTTAGTGGTAGAGTGCTTGCCTAGCATGCATGAAGCCTTGGGTTCTATTCCTCAGCACCACATAAACAGAAAAAGCTGGAAATGGCTCTGTGGCTCAAGTGATAGAGCACTACCCTTGAGCAAAAAGAAGCTCAGGAACATGCCCAGGCCCTGAGTTCAAGCCCCAAAACTGGCAAAAAAAAAAGATTGATCTATTTGTCTGAATGAAGCCAGCCCTAGAATCCACCAATCTTGTGGATACCCAAATGAAAAATCAATATATGCCTCAAAGCTTTGCTCATGCATTTTAAAAATATTTCAACTTGTTTTAAATGATATTGAAGATATAGGACAACATGGACTGTGTCTTCATGCTGTCATCTTTTAAATTATAAAGGTAATGTATACTCGTCCAGGAACATTTAGAAAACAGAGAGTACAAAAATGAAAAGAAAAGTTATCCTCAATCTTACTACTAAGAGCTAACTACTATAAAAATTTGGCTTATATTTTTTTCTGTCTTTGTGTATGTGATGTGTGTAATTGTATATGTCTGTCTGTCTGTGTATGAGAGAAAGAAAGAGAAAGGGAGAGAAAGAGTCCAAATTCTCTTATTTTCTTTTAAACCAAGCAGGAATATAAAACATAGTATAATTTCATAAGCTGTTTTTTTTCCTTCTAAGTATATTAAAAACAACACTTTGTTTCTTTGTATATTCTTCTGAGTAAATTTTTTAATGTCTGGCCAGAATTCTCTTCTGTGTCTGTAATAAATTACCATGACAATTCTGAATTGCTTGATATAGAGATTATTTCAGGCCGGGTTCTGGTGGCTCACACCTATAGCCATAGCTACTCTGGAGGCTAAAATAGAGGATTACAGCTCAAAGCTAGCCAGACAGAAAAGACTAAGTCTCCAACTCCAATTACCCAGCCAATGCTGTATGTAGGTGTGGCTCCTGCCACAGCCAGCTCAGCAAGCAAGCTGAGTGAGTACGACGTCCTAGTGCCACTACAAAGAGGGAATATGTTCACTATTATATCCACTGCTATGGCTAACATACTTTGTAAACCTATATAAACATCTCAGCCATATTCTACAAGATAAATGCCTAACTGCGCTTATCTAACTAACATCCTGTGATAAAGGATGTTTATGTTTGCAAGGATTTGCATGAGCATTGACAAATAGGTCTCTAGAAATTTGTACCTGAAGTTAGGTGGACCATCAAAACCATGTTTGAGGCAGGGTAGCTTAGAAGTCACTTATTTGTTATTTCATTACAGTCTATAAAAGAAAAACAGCTTCTTTCACCCTACAAAGTTAAAAAAGAAAAACATTTTAGCTGGGCACGAGTGGCTCCCATCTGTAATCCTAGCTACTTAGGAGGCTGAGATCTGAGAATTGTGGTTCAAAATCAGCCCTCACAGAAAAGTCCCTCTTATCTCCAATTAACCACTCAAAAACTAGGAGTGGAGCTGTGGCTCAAAGTGGTAGTAGCAATAGCCTTAAGCAAAAGAGCTCAGGGGCAGCACCCAGGCCCTGAATTCAAGCCCCACAACTGACCAAATAAACACATTTTATAATTCTACTAAGGTCATATGAGAAGACTTTGAATATGTGTTTAGTAATTTGCTTTCAGATTACTTAGAATAATTATAGTGATTTCTGAAGGTTAAAAGCTAGAAGAAGATTCTGTCTCTCCACATATTACTCGTATCTCTCTCCGTGTTTTTGTTTCTCCCTGCCTCCCCCCACACACAGAGTTATCTGCACACAAAAACCACTTTAGAAACTACAGTAGCACTTGTCCATTTTTCATCAGAAGAGAGAGGCAGATTCTCTTCACTGTTCTTGATGTCCTAATTTAACTTGTTAAAGAAGTAGTTTCTTTTATCTTAGATATGACAGAAAATGAGAAAAATAGTGTAAAACATTACATCTACCCATTGATAGACACTATTTTCTCTTTAATACTTCTTTTTATATTCTACTACTCCTACTCCACCCCAAGAAAAAGGTGAATATAATGGTATAATTTCAAATGTGCACATCATTATAAAAATTATAATTATGTATATAGTTGTTAGGATCAGTGTTAAATCTTTCAATGTCAGTGATCAAGAAAGTAAGCTGAGCTGGGTAGTGTTGGCTAATGCCTATAATTCTAGCTACTCAAGAAGCTGAGATATGAGGATCATAGTTCAAATCCAGCCCAAGAAGACAAATCCATGAGACTCTTATCTCCAATTAATCAGCAAAATGCTAGAAATAGAAGCACAGCTCAAGTAACATCAACCGTGAGAGAAAAAGTTGAGTGATAGCTCAAGGCCCTGAGTTCAAGTCCCGCTATAGACTCACACAAAAAAGAAAGCACTGTTGAATTTACCGATTTGTTGTTTTCAAAAATTTAAGAATTTTTTCTCATCATTTTGTCGATTATATGGGATTATAGTCTAAATTCATGTTTCTCACCAAAAAGAATAACTGTGTTTGAGTAAAGGTAAAAATTATTCTATTAACAGCAAGAAGAATCTGTGTTTGTCTCAATATTTTATTAGTTCTGCAATTATCTAAAAGAATATTTTTCAAGCTGTGTTTCTCAGAACATTATTATTATTTGGGGGGCATCCAGTCTTGGGCCTGAACTCTGGGCCTGGGCGCTGTCCCTCAGCTCTTCAGCTCAAGGCTAGTGCTCTACCACTTGAGTCACAGCGCCACTTCCGGCTTTTTTTCCTGCTTATGTGGTGCTGAGGAATCTAACCCAGGGCCTCATGCATGCAAGGCAAGTGCTCTACCACTGAGCCACCTTCCCAGCCCCTCAGAATATTATTATTCTATGATTTCAATAACTATCACTTGAAACAATACTTCTGGAATCAATGATTGACAAAACAAAGAATATGGAGTTCTCTCTCATTGGAAATGTTGATCCTTTATTATAAATTGAGATTCTAAGGGGAAGATAGTCCATAGCTCTTTGTAGTAACTGGCTATGGAACCATTTTGCAGGCACACCAATTAATTTCTCTCTAAATGTATCATAGAACTGGGTGCATCTTTCCCCCTACGGGGGTATTTACCAAATATATAACGACAAGAATTTTCTATAGAAAATAGTAAGAACATAGCCCAATCAAAAAGAAAGTGAGTGTTTATAAGGCAAAAGAGTCAACTTTGTATCTTTCCTGA